TCCGCTAGCCTACGCCATTCCCACCATGAGACCCTGCCTGTTCTGCCCCCCAATAATCTGTGATTGGGGACAAAGAGTCTCTGACAGAAAATAGCTAAGATCTCATCACAAATCATTTTCCCTCTAGAAACTTCAGCAAGTTGACCATAGCTCTGAGGTATACAGCAAGGGAGTAAGTGTGGGGGGTCACAAGAGGGGAGGGAAGTGGTGGTTAACAGCCCACATGGTGGCAGGAAAACATTGGGAATGACGGCAATGTAAGGAAACATTAATGTAAAAATAGTTTCTTCACTTTCTTACTTGTCTAGTATATTTAATCATTCACTTTTAGGCCTAAAGTTGTCCCCTTAAGCTGCTTCGCCATCATGTGTGCCAAGAGACATACAGTCACATGTCTTGCTACACTGCAGTCGAAATTCCCCATTGCTTCCCCACTGGCTCCTTTCCCACTGACCTTTTTTTTCTCTGATCCTACTATTAAATCTTGGCTTGCTCATTTCTCTTTGGGTCCTACTAAGGTCTTAAAAACTACACCTCAACTTGAGGCAATAAGATCTTGGTATAAGTCTGTACTCAAGAATGGTCACTGCATTGGGAACAGTGATGGGGGGAGTAAAGAGGAAAACAGAAACGAGGTTGGCACAGTAGCTAAAGTAGAAAACTTTGGAGGATGGGACACAGAAAGAAGCGTTTGTGGAAGAGTGGGCCACATATAGGTAACATCTCAAAGTCTTCCAGAACTAAGAGCATGATAGGAATTCATTTTATTTAAGGGGAGGAAAAGAACATGAAGAAAGGAGCTGATACCATTAAGGAAAAGAATAAGATTTAGGATTTACATACAAAGACAAATTTTGACTTCCTGTTTTTGCTAAGAATTCTATTTATCTGTGCATAGGGATAACCTAATTCTATTTATTTTTGCATAGGGATAACCTACTTAAAAGTAGGTGTGAAATAGTTAAACAGCAGTTTTCCAAACATATTTCCATACAATGTTAGGACTCTACGATAAACTGGGTTTATTAAATATAGACTCAGTTTTTGTTTGATGTCCTAGAGAAGATTAAGAGATTTGGGCCCTTATTTCTATTTGCAAGTTATACAAGTGACATTTCTGCCTTTTGTAGAAGCAGCTTTTAGGTAAATATCAATAAACCCACATTTCAAAGGAAATAAAACCTTACTAGGAACCCTTTAAAAGAATGTTTATGGCACCTCTCTAGAGTGGATTAAATGCATTTACCACAGACTAGATTGAAAGACCATAATAAAATTTAACTGCTGCACTTAGCATTCAAAGGGGGGGGGGTGTCACGGTTTCACAAAATCTCTTCATGTGCCCAGATGATAGCAAATCTTACCTCCACAAACCATCCTCATTTCTCTAAGGATGTTTAGTATTAAAGGTAAATCCATTTCTTTAGCCTAGTATTTTGGTTTTGTACTTGATGTTTTTTAGAGAAATTTGATATCTATTGTCTCATGATCATTACTGTACTAGACATAGAGTTCAAAGGGGACTTTGGCTAACTGGTGCAGGTTACTCTGTGAAATTTTGATATCTGTGTGATCTGCAAGGACTCAAGTTGAACAGAATGCTTATACAAAGCTTTCTTTGATATTTTGGTTTGATTTTATAGTTTTTAAATTGCTAGGCTAGTTCAGAATAATTTTACAGTTGGATTCTATGTTTAGAAAATTATACCTTTTAAAAGATTTTTAATTTAATTTGAATTTTAATAACAAGCCTGCAGTAGAAATGAATAGCTTGCGGTATACACAACAACCATTGCCCTTGTTCCCTCCTAAAAGAACCCTGATTTTGTCTGGGATAACAGAGAGCCCAATTCCAGGCAATGGTGCATGCTTACTCTAAGCAGACTGTGAATCGTTTTCTTCTTTGCTAAATGCTCAGACTCTCTTGCAGCTTGTAGTGGTCATGTGACCCAGTCCTGGTCAATAGATAGTGTACCAGGGGGTCTTACTTTATAGGCCTCACTTTTATTGCCTTAGAATAGATCAAGAGAACACTAGGGATGCCAATCATTTACCTCCACGATCCTTAATGATATAAAAATCTGTATACTCTAACCCTAGGGTTAACAAACCAGCCCCTGACTTGTTTTTGCAAATAAAAATTTATTGGAACATTGCCATATCCATTTGTTTACTTATTGTATAAGGTTGTTTTTGTACTACGGCAATAGAGTTATGTAGTCACAACAAAGACCAAGACCTCAAAACCAAAAATATATACCATCTGGCCTCTCAAGAAAAAGATAACTTGGGATCTCCCTGGTGGTGCAAGAGGTTAAACACAGCACTATGAAGCTATCTGCAGCTACTGCACCATGAGTTCGATCCCTGGCCAGGGAGCTGACCCACATTTCAGACCTTGCCCTCTGTTCCCCTTAGCAGTGTATTTGAGTAGATCTGACTATTCTTCTCCCCACTCTGTCTCTGGTGAATCCTCTTACTCCCCACACCTCTAGCTTGTACCCCAGTTCTTGTATGCATAAGTAAATAAATCTTTTTAAAAAAGAAAAGAAAAGAAAAAGTTGACTAGCTCTGGTCTTAGCCACTGTTACACAGTAACCAAATTCATTTATAACTGACATGAAGTCCATGGGAACTCGTAAAGCAAAACAAAACAAGAAATAAAGAAAAGTGAAACAGAGTGCATAGCACACACCAACACTCTGCTCAACCTGGATTAGGTTAATGTGCTTTGTTAACCCCAGCAAGCAAGAGAATATTGCAGCCAGGAAGACTTACCTGTTTGGTGTAAATAACAAACCATGGCCACTGACTGTCCTCACTATACTGAAACCTGAGCTCTAAGTTCTGGTTGAGAGTTCGCTGGGGCCCATCCACATCCAGCAGAGTACCCTACAGAGGAAAAGATATTGGTTGATATTCAGTTGAAATTTAAGTGACTATTCAGGTCTGGCCAAAATATCAAGACAAGTGAAACCATCCCTATTCCCAATAAGCTGTCAGTCTAAGAGAAACCATGAAAGTAAATCACCACAGTTTGATGAAATGAGTGTTATAAGGGAGACAAACACAGGTCTGTGAAAATACCTAAAATGGGAACCTAATCAAGGATAGGCGTGCAAAGGCCTCCTAGAAAGGGCAGGGTTCTGAGAAGAAGTCAGAACTATCCAAGTTTGTTATCATGTGTGGGTGGTTTTTTGTTTTGTTTTGTTTTGTTTTGGGGGGTTCAGGGCAATTGCAATGTGCAGGAGGTGATGGTGGTGGCTACAGAGGTGATAGCGGTAGGAAAGGAAGCTTGCGAGGCACCATAGGCCCAGTCCTGCAAGCCTAGTAGGAAGCACCTGTGATTCTCATTATACTGCACCTTCCCCTCCTTCTCCTAGCAATGCGTCTCAGATATCCTTGGGAAAACCCTCCCTTTTCCACTGGGGCTTTGGAGGTAAGGACCATCAGGGAATTCTGCCCTGATGAAGTGGCATATGACTCAGGCTCAGGCCAATTGGACACACACTATATGTGCCCCTAATTTCATTCCAGAGCAGAGAGAGCCAACCTGCAGATCTGAATAAAGAATTTCAGTGTCCTAAAAATAACCTCCAACTCCTCTGCTTCTTTATTTTACTAAGCCTCAGCTCCAGCTTTCCCTTTTAATCAGTGGGTTATTTTACTCCCTCCAATAAGCCGCTTTTTTCCTCTATTAAGCCAGAAGCATCAGTTCCTATTGTGTATCACCAGAGAACCCTCTTAAAGGTTTTATATGCTAAGTGAGGGAGTCTGGACTTTATCTTGAGGGCAATAGATATTCACGAAAAGATTTTAAAAACTGGGTAATAACACACACAATTAGTACTAAAATACTGGTCTGATAGCATTGATATAAAAAATGAACTGGGAAACAGCTGCTTTCAGACATTGAACAACAGATAATGCAGCCTGTCAACTCAGAGAGAAAGAAAACAGATGAGGTGAGCCCTACTATTACTCAGCTTAATGCTTGAAGGAGTTTGTAGGATGCATTTCAGGGAGGGGGCACCCAAACAGAGCTAGAGGTCTTGCTGAGTTGGGGAGAAAGAGATAAAAATTTGAGGAAGCTGAGGTTAGAATTTGTGGGGCAGAAGGCCACACAAATGAGGACTTCACAAAGAGAAAGAGCTTAGAAAGTTCCTTTCCAGTATTTGGCTGAATAAGGATTTGTGCATAGGATTTGTGCATGTGTGGAGATGGTGTAAGTGCACAGGCTAAGGAAAGAACCACTGAAAAGCAGTAGGTTAAACAATCCCAGGAGCTCATAAACCTGACTGAAAATAGCCTGTGTTTCTATCAACTGAAGTAGAAGCTACAATAAATAATACATTGGGTATGTCCTAAGAATAACCATTAATGAGTAAAGAGCTGAATTAGCCCTAATGAATGCCTAGACCTCTTAAGAAAGTGTTAAAGCCAGCTGAAAATAAAGTGAAATGAAATGAAATAAATAAAAGCCAATCCTAAGTAAATGAATATCAAACAATAAAAGTCACAATTTAAGCATAGCATAAAAAATTAGCTGGTATAAAAAATAGAAAAGATGCTCTGCAAACAAGAGAAACCAATAGAAACATCCAGAAAACTATTATTTTAAATATGCTACATATATTCACAAGTTTAGAGAACATATAGCATAAGATGGGAAATGGAAAATATATATTAAAAAAAAGAATCAAATGGAACTTCTAGAGATGAAAAATATACTAGAAGTTAAAATATATGGATGGAGAGAACATTAAACATTTCAAAAGAGTGATGATCTTGTACCTGCAGCAATAGAAACCTCCCAAAATGAAGTATTGGGGGAAAAAAGACAGAACTAAATAAAACTACAGTGAGATTCTACTACCTCATACCCACTAGGATGGTTAAAATTTTAAAAATTAGATAATTACAAGTGTTGACAAGGACTTGGTGAAAATGGAACCCTTAAAAACTGCTGGTGGAAATAAATGGAATAGACACTTTGTAAAACAGCCTATATTTAACTTCCTTAGAAGTGTGTGTGTGTATGTGTGTAATGAAAACATACACCAACACAAATATTATTGGGAGAATAATTCACAAAGACACAAAGTTGAAGCAACCTAAATGTCTAGCATTCGATAAATGGTTAAGCAAAATTTGGTATATCCACATAATGAAATATTATTTGTCCATAAAAAGGGATGAAGTTCTGATAATGCTACAATGATGGAGATTGGATACATGTTAAATTAAAGAAGACAGTCACAATCATGAACACATGATTTCATCACTATGAAATATTTAGGCAAGGCAATTCTATAGAGACAGAAAGGGATCAGAGGTGGGATGAAGGGACGGGAAGGAGACAGCTAAAGAGCATAGAACTTCTTTAACAGGGTGATAAAAATTCTAAAATGGATCCTAAAATGTTCTAAAACTATTGTGATGGTTGCACAATTCTGTATGTATACTCATACCACTGAATTGTTAACTTTATGGTGTGAATTGTACTGCCATTAAATTATAATCGATAAGCCCATAACAAAGAAAAAGAAAGAATGCATTGTATTTGTGTGTTCAGGGTGAATATATAGATCAGTGAAACTAAAAAGGGAATAAAAAAACAGACAAATTTGTTCAACTGATGTTTACAAAGGTGCAAAGGCAACTCAAATGGGGCAACACAGGCTTTCCCACAGATGACACTGCAGCAACTGGGCTTCCACAGACCACATAAAACCTTGTTCTAAGTTTTGCATCCTACATGCAAACTAACCTCAAGTGACCATCAACTTAAAAACCTATAAAATTTTAGATGCCTAAAAATATCTAAAGGATATTTGCAAAGATACCATGAGCACAGCCTATAAAAGGATAAACTGGGCCCTCCCTGGTGGTGCAGCGGGTTAAAGCACTGCACTGAGAAGCTAAAGCCACTTCTGCATGAGTTCAATCCCCGCCTGCCCCAGAGGTGACCACATGGCGCGTCAGACCTCTCCTGACCCACCTGCTGCTCCCCTCAGCAGTGTACTTCGTCGATCTGCCTGTTCTGCTCCCTTCGATCTGCCTGTTCTGATCCCCTCTCTGTCTCTGGTGAATCCTCTCACCCTCCACATCTCTGGCCTGTACCCCAGTTCCATATGAATAAATAAATAAATCTTTAAAAAAAAAAAAAAAAGGAAAAACTGATTGAACCAGACTTCATCAAAATAAAAAAATGTTTGCTTTGTTAAGAGGACAAGAAAACTACAGAAAGTATTTGAAACCACAGATCCAACAAAGAAGTTCTATCTAGAATATCTTATGGATTCTCAAAACTCAACAGTTAAAAAAAATTTAATTAGAAAATGGGTAGGATATCTGAGAAGACATTTTACCAAAGATATACAGATGGTAAATAAGCACATGAAAAGAGATTCAACATCATTAGTCTTGAGGGAAATACAAATTAAAATCACAATGAAATACCATTACACACTTATCAAAATGACTAACATAAAACTGGTGACAATGCCAAATGCTGATGAGGAGCCAGGGAAATGGGATTAATTAATAGCTGGTGGGAATGTAAATTGGTCCAGTCACCCTTGAAAACAGTTTGGCAGTTTCTTGAAGCACTAAACATGCAAGCTTCTTATGAATACTCCATTACACTTCTGGGCAATTTTCCTAGAGAAATGAAGACTTGTGCTCAAACAAAACTTAGACCTAAATATTTACAGGAGCTTTTTTCATAATACCTAAAAACTGGAAACAACCAGTATCTTTCATTTGATGAATAGTTAAGAACATTTTGGCTATTCCATACTGGTAATAAAATAAAACAAACAATTGATAACAACAGCTTGAATGAACTGGCCAAGAATTATGCTGAGGAAAGAAAAACCAATTTTAAAGGGCAACATACTAAATGATCCCACTTACATAAATTCTTTTTTAAAAAAGTAATCAATTCCTTGGCTTATTTATATTTTCACTTCCTAAAGACAGTCAACTCAAATTACTCACAGTATCATAGCCTGTGAAATCCCAGACACCTTCCAACAGTAGAGAAACCTGTCATTGGATGGTAGGAAGATTGGAAGATCTCATGGCTACCGGTGGGGGTTTTGTACCAGACACTAGAGGGGCTTAGAACTTAGATACTTAATGTGCTGATCTATCAACCCATTCAAGGTATTGATTCGCACATCAGACTTCTCTCCCTCAGGCCAACATTGTCATCCAAGAACAACAGGATCTTCAATCACAGGAGACTTTAAGGGGTGGGTAAGGCAAAGTGCAAAGATACTCACAAGGAAGGTGACTTGCCAACACTTCACTCTGTTCATCTGGAAAATGACATCCTGGGTCCGGTTATCTGGCAGGGTGATACAGCAGCGGATCTCATTATTGCCAACAGAAAGGACCGCTCCGCAGCCAGGTTCTAGGTAGTCACAGGTACAAGGGTCCAGTTGCATATATCCATAGTGTTGTACCTCTTGGGCCAGCTCCAAAAACTGCTCCAAAAAAGCAGGGGTGGAGGTGGGATTGGGAAGGAGGAAGCAAAAGACCAGTTGCAAAAGAAGAAAACCACACATCAGAGGTGACTGCCATCTAACAGAACAAGGGAACAGAGCGCTCGGGAACTGAGCCCGAGTGAGCGCTCTGTTCCCTTCCAGACATTCTGCGGCAAGATAATGTCCCCTTTGCTCTCTGACAGTAAGGGCTGAGGAAGTTCAGGTGTCCTTTTTCACATCGTGTCCCTGCTCCTGCCACAGCACTTGGTACTTGGTGGGGAAATATTTGACACGTGCATACAGTAGAGTGAATCAGCGGAATTAGTAAGCGTGATTCTACTTCAACAGATATAACAATGAGATAATCCCCTCAAAAATGTACATTTAAAATGTCAGCTCTTAAAAAAAGATTAAGAGGAGGAAAGCGGCTCATTGGCAGGCAGCTATATAGTGATACTGTCAGAGAAAAGAAATTCTGGAAATGCCAGTGATACACAAGAGTGTGCACTAGTTCCCAAAGTGGCAAGGGAATGCTGTGATGTGACCCCAGCTTTTCCCTCTGCTTCTGACACACTCTGAGAACAGCTAGAAGATACAGTCCACACCCGTGGTGCCAGCATCCTGTCCTCACATCCATCTAGGACTTTTCATTTTTTCAGTGTCACGATTAACAATTGCATTCAAATGAGCTGATGTCAGTTTGGGAACCTCCACTTTGTTCTTCCAGCTTTCACCATGGATCTGGCCGGCAGTGTGCAGATGTGTGTGCCTTAACCTAACCCACAGTTAAGTCAGGAGGGAAGCCAATGTGACAAACTGCTCTTTCTTTTGTTTTGTTTGTTTTTTAAAAATAATATAACAGTTTATTTTTACATCATTTGTGCATTTTTCCATCTCAGTTGTAATCCCCGTGGGCTTCCCATCACCAAATCACCCATGCCGTCACCATATTCCAGTGCATTTCCCTCCCCCCACTGTTTTTGATCCCATTCCCCACTACACCCCCATAAAATGTCTCTGGTATATAGCTGTTCATTATTATTATTATTTTCTTGCCTGGTCTGTTATACTCCTGCAGGTCTCACTCATAGGAGGTATTTTTCCTTTTCTTTCTGGCTTATCTCACTAAGCATGATCTTTTCTAGCTCCATCCATGTTGCTGCAAAAAGCATGTGTTTATTTTTTTTTTTTGGTTGCTGAGTAATATTCCATTGTGTATATGTACCACATCTTTCTAATCCAGTCATCCACTTTTGGGCATTTGGGCCGTTTCTATGTCTTTCCAATTGTAAATAAAGCAGCAATAAACGTGGGGGTGCAGGTATCTTTTGGAATCAGTGTTTTTGTGTCTTTTGGGTAGATACCGAGGAGTGGGATTGCTGGTCATGTGGAAGCTCCATGTTAAGTATAAACTGCTCTTTCTTAACCTTCTCAAGGACTCCATGAAGTGCTGTCTGATCGAGTGAAACAAGTGGACACCAGGCGGTAGGGCACAGCCATCCTGGCACAAGGAGGGAGACATATATGAGGCTCTGCCCTCCCCCCCAAGTCTACCATGCATCTACCAGGTGGTTGTGCTGCTGCTTATGCTTCAGTGGAGAGGTTCAGATAGCTGCCGGATTCAGATACATGAAGTTGGGTTGGTGGAAATGATAAAGCAAAAACAGGTTGTGAGTAGATGCTTGTGTGCAGGGCTGGGGCAGGCAGAGTAATCTCACCACAGAGCATACAGAGCAGTGTCATGCTATTGCTACAGATTCCTTATTTATTATAAGGGGAAATAGTTGCTTACTTCATTCTTTTGTAACACTTAAAAATATGTTCTTGGCTGTCATACTCTTACACAAGCGATGAAAGTGTTCAATTAGAAATTGAACTCCATTTTCTAGGAAAGTTGGTGAATAAGTAACTGTTCAAAACACTTAATTGTGTTTGCCGTTCATAAAGGGAATATTAGTGACAATATGAAAAGTAAAGGACAGAAGTCTGCAAGGATTCAACATGTGTAACTGTAGAGGCTATGTTTAACATATTTTTGTTTTGATCAGGGGTCAGAAAACATTTCTGTTAAGAATCATGTACATATTTTTAGCTCTTCAGGTATATGATTTTTATTATAGTCACTCACCTCAACTGCTCTAGAACAAATTCTGTCTTAGGCAATACTGCCAGGGAGTGACAGTTTCTGTGTGTTAATAAAACTTTATTTACAAAAACAGTGGCCATAGACTGTATTGAGATCATTTCTGACTCAAGTCAAATGCCTGCTCCTTTAAATTAATGTTACATACATTCCAAGTTTTCTTGTATGTAGGCATAAAGAAAAATCATGTTGTTGATGTGTCAGCTCCACTAGCAGAAAAAGAACTTCACAAGCAAATTATGCTGGTTTTCTATCAGTATGCTCAGGTGTTTCAAGAAAAAAAATCAGTTAATGTAAATGATCATTCAAATTTTTGATCACGTTATTTATGTACTCAGAGTTTCTTTAAGATCAAAGTATGGTAAACCCAGGTAAACACTCACCACAGAAAAAAACATGTTTTGTAGAGCAAAAAAAATGAATTTTGGTGGTGCATAACAAAATGGTAAAAAGAATAGTCTTACTAAATTAAGAAGTTCATAGAGCAGAACTATACTTAGAATTTGTAATTATATCCAAAGTAGTAGCAGTGGTCTACCCAGATAGAAACACCAAATGTCCAAACTGACGAATACGTAAAGAACTTGAACTCAGTTTTATGATAAGCTGTGGTGGGATACCACATTGGGGGTGGGGGGGCAATGGTTCCATGGTGGCAATAAGCTCACATTCTCTCTTCCTTTCTCCCCACTCCCTCCACGACCCACTTCTCTCTTGCTCATTGATTATAACTATCAAAATTTCGGGCCCTCCCTGGTGGTGCAGCAGGTTAAAGCACAGCACTAAGGAGCTAAAGCCACTGCAGCACGAGTTCAATCCCCACCCTGGAGATGACCACATGGTGTGGCAGACCTCTCCTGACCCGCCTGCTGCTCCCCTCAGCAGTGTACTTCATCAGCCTGTTCTGCTCCCCACTCTGCCTCTGGTGAATCCTCTCACCACCCCTGTACCTCTGGCCTGAACCCCAGTTTTGTGTGCACAAATAATCTTTTAAAAAAAAACTATCAAAATTTCAAGAATGACTTTCTATCTCAGCCTAACTAGAAATGAGTCTTCTCATTTTGTTTATCTTGTTCAAAATCAATGAACATGGGCAAAGTCTAAAGAATAACATAAAGACAAAACAATGAATCAAAGGTCAGTTCTTCTGTTCAAATATTTCTCGTTTGTCAGACTCACATAAACTGCTTGGGGACAAGAGACGAGGGAGGTGGTACCACCTTTACAGAAGCTTTAAAAACAGACATTTAGAAATATATCCTGAGCAATAATAGAACACACACTCAAAGACAGGCTGTTGGCAGCGGTGTTTGGAGACCTCAGCGGGAGACCACACAGGTGCTAAGAATACACAGGGTATGTATAAATTAGACACAGCCCTGGGCCTCGTGGCACTCCCTGCCAAAGTGATTTATAGTGGCAGACGCTGGAAACAACCTCACTTCTAATAATAGGAAATTGGTAAGCTAAATGCTAACATGACCACAAAATGGAGTATTCTCTGGGCATTAAAAATATGTTAGTGGTCTGTACTGACTTGACAGAGAACTGAAATATAATGCTGTTTTCAGAATTGTATGTGATAAGTCTTTATTTTATGATCAGAAAAATAAATGAAGGCACTCTCATTTTTTAAAAAAAAATCCAATTTTTAGTGTGTGTCAGGTCTATAAGTTATAGAAGCAATTCAATTCCAGTATGTGTCTTAATTCCCTTCCAAGGGATTTCTCTGGGCGCAGTATTTGACTTACCTTTGTTTTGTTGTCTTCCTTCTGGAGAGCCTCTAGTTTCTGCCTCTGTGCCTGTGTGGGTTTGGCCCATTCGTTTTCAATGTCTTTTAATGCCTTAAAAAAGCATAAGTTGTAAAATTAGCAAACTTAGCAGAAATCAGTCTGACAAAAACATATTTGTATATGAGAGGCTAGGCTATAAATACAGGCCCAAGTAGGCAAATGCAAGGATTTAGCATGTTGTAAAGATTATTTTTAAAATTAGTGGGTGTATGAAGAGATTGTTCAGTGATTTGGGGACAACTGGCAGCACTGGGAAAAGAAAATTAAGTTAGCTCTTAACTGATCCAAGAAATCCAGATAAATGAGAGATTTAAAAAATGTTAAATAAATATAAAAAACAAATCAAAGAACCAAAGAAAGGAAAATTTTATCTGACATTGAGGCAGGGAATAAACTTGTAAGAGAAGATACAAAGACAAAATATAATCAAGGAATATATAGTTATATAAAAATACAAAACTTCTATACACACTATCACCAAGAACAAAACTAGGAAACGGCAAGCCTGGGGAAATGATTGCATCATATGTAGCAGAGTTCATACTATTTATAGACAGCAACAGGAAAAAATACGAGCATCCCTAATAGGCAAATGGACAAAGTTGATGTATTAGTGACTGACAAAAAGGAGCTCCAGTGACAAAGATATATTTAGGCTTACTTGCAATCAAAGAAGTTTTTTGCCTCTAGAACTGGCAAAGACTATTATACATGTCACATACATAATATTCAGAGTTGAAAAGGGCTTGGAGAAACTGGAAGTTTCATATAGACCTTATGGGCTTTAAATTGTTACCACTTCATGATGGGAATTTGGCAATATGAATCTAAGACCACTGACAGGAATGGGCGTATATGCGGAGGCCATGCGTTAGTAAGGCTGCTATCACTGTCGGTGCTGTTGAAACATTTCAGCTCTTTAATAGAGACAAACATACATGTAGTGCTTAAATACATGTATGTGCTTACGCTTGCACTAAATCCAAAGCCAGTCCTTCTAGCTACCTATGAAATAGTGCTATTATGAAATGCCCAAACAGGTGATTGGGTACAATCAAATAATAGGTTATGCTGTCATTAAACATTATATAGAATATTTAACAGCATGGGAAAAGTCTGTGGTGGAAAGGATGTCAAGTTACAAAATGAGGGTGTAGTAGTAGACACTGATTTTTTTTTTTAAAGATTTATTTATGCATATAGAACTGGGGTACAGGCCAGAGGTGCAAAGCCAGTGAGAGACTTCACCAGAAACAGAGTGGGGAGCAGAACAGGCTGACTGACAAAGTACACTGCTGAGGAGAGCAGTGGGCGGGTCACGAGGGGTCTCCAGGGCCATGTGGGTCACCTCCAGGGCAAATTCATGCTGCAGTGGCTTTAGCTTCTTGGTGCTGTGCTTTTAACCCACTGCACCACCAGGGAGGGCCCAACACTGATCATTTTAACACTAATAAATAAATTATAAAATCTTATATACTGAGTTATGAGTCAAGCCAATAGATGTGCCTATAAAAAATGAAACAAATACAGAACACACCCACAATATTAAGAGTTTAAATGTCTGACTAAGATTTTGGGTGGCATTTACTTTTGTGTTTTGAGCTCTGCCCTATTTGCAACTTTGTTCCGAGAGGAAAACAAATTTGACAATTAAAAAAATAAAAGTGAATACATCAGTGGGCCCCATTTGCTGAGCTTTGGATACTGCCACCAGCAAATGACCCTGAGTCCAAGTCCCTGTTAAGTTTCTTACTTCTGTTTCCTAAACCACACTGAGGGTATAAGCAGAGAGCGCTGGACTCAGCAGGACTCTCTTGAAGAAACTGTCCCCTTGATCATCCTTAAGAACTGCTAGGCTCCCTTTTTCCATGTTCCTTTCACCTTTTGTCACTGACCTCCCTTCCCCTTTACCCAGCCTGGTCCTGAGGAGGTTCTGGTATTAGCTGTTCATCCCACTAGCAGTATACTTTAGCCTGTGCTATGAAAACTTTTTCACTGGTCTTCGGATAGATCGTTAAGCTTTTAAGGGAAGACCTGTGTATTCTGTCCAATGTGTTGCATACAGCAAACGCCCAATAACCTTTGTCAGTTATCAGGAGGCTGTGATGGTGTACACCTCAGTAAGTCTGTGTGTTCTATGAGGTTGCGCCTCATCTCCAAGAGGAGAATGAAAGGCTAATTAAATTGTTGACACCGCTGTTTAGGTTGGGGAGGAGGTGAATTATAAAAGAAGATGACGCTTATTGAAAACGTGCTTTACATAGGTTTTCTCACTGGCATTTCCACCCTGTGTATTCTGTGGGATAGGCACATTAGCCCCATTTTTATAGATGTGTAAACTGAGGCCCAGAAAGGTTACGACTTTAAGACAATGCAATAAGTAAGTGGGAAGACTTGGATTGGAATTCCATCACGCTCTGCTATCCTTGCTGGAGCCATGGTAAGAATTCAGTAATGTATTCTCACCATGTTGGCAGCAGCCCCCAATGCTTTCTTCTTGCAGTCAGGTGGTATCAAGACTGAACCTAGACCCCATCCCAGAATGGAATCAACATGGGCATGAAAAACTAATGTCCTTCTTTCTTGGTTTTTAGCAAGGACTGTTAAGCCAGAACAATGACGTCAAAAGGGGAAGCGTGGCTTCCTGAAGGCCAACAGTGATGGTGGCAGTGCCTATCACAGACACAGCAGCTGTGAGGGCCCAGGGTTCTCAGGCACACAGAGCTTACATGTCCTCCAGCAGAGGTAATATATCTTTGTTTCACTATGTTTGAAAAGATTTGACCCTCACTGTGGGTTCACAAGTCATCACTCACACATTATATACAATACCTCACGCCAGACAAAGCTTGAGTCTACATTAGACAGCTGTCTCTACTCAGTTATATGGTTCCCTAAGGACTGACCAGTGCAGACTTAAACAGAAGTTAACTTTTAAAATCCAGTGCAAACACAAGCCATGGTTTTCATGAGCCTCAAACACACATACTTCATTGCCCTCTAAGGAGAGCATGGTGGTGAGAAACGGAGAGCACGTGTGCCTTTGAGCAAGGCTGAGACTCTCAGTCCTGGCTCAATGAGGCAGGACAGAACACGGCCAGGGGCGTGTAAGCAGCTGGGCCCTGTGAAGTGCCTTCGACCATGGTGGAATCGGAGGGTGTCATCACTCATGCTCCCCCACCTAGCCACAAGCTCCTACATGGGCCAGGGCCCCTGAGGGAAGTGGCACCAAGTTACCTCAGGGCTCAGTGGTGGCCCTGGACAAAACACAGACCCAACACTGAGCAAGCCAAGAATATATATTTTTTTAATCCAGAAATGATCTGATCTCCCACTGTATTAATGTCAATAACATATCTCAAAAGAGCAAGAAAGGAAACATTGTAAGAGTCCAGCTGGTTCCTGGGATATCACTAGGCAAGAGAAAAATCTGCTTTAGGACTATCAAAAGGGTATCCTTTAATAGTGAATTGTGATGGTACCTTTATATCGGAAGAACTCAGGACTTTTTTGTATTAGCTTTTTAAAAGGATGATTACTTCTCTTGTGGGGGTGGAGTGGGGAATGGGATCAAAAACGGGGTGGGGAGAGGGAAATGCACGGGATTATGGTGATGGCACATGGGTGACTTGGTGATGGGAAACCCGCGGGGATTACAATCGAGATGGAAAAAAAAAAATGTACAAAATGATGTAAAAATAAACTTTTGTAAAAAAAAAAAAAAAAGGATGATTGCTTCTCACTCATGAACCTGTCCTGGTACCCAGTGGTTGGTCTCTGGCCTTGGCCATTGAGTCTGGTTAAGGATACAAATATAAACGGTATTTACAGTCCAGGGTACAGACCTTCCCCCACATGAATCCAGGGGAAGGAAAGGAAGCCAAACCTAAAATGTGCTTGTCTGGACTCTGAGGGTTAGGGTCGGCTGGACCAAGTACAGATTTACTGGGCCTCACACAGCATAAAACATGTGGATCACTTTAGCCAAAAACTGTTGAGAATTTCAAGAAGGCCATAGCAGAGCATGAAAGCAGACTGCAGGCTTTTTGAGCCTGTGAAGCTGGCCCTGGGGGCAGGAGTGGGACTTACTGCCACAGGGAAAAAGAAGATAATATTACAGTGAGACTTAGGAAGCACGTGTACTTCAAATTATCAAAAATAACAGCCTTTCTAGGCTAACGTAAATTAGCTGAGATGATGGGAGTGTCTGCAAATTCAGAGAGTGATAGTTAAAAGGAATTTTTTCTCTCTCAAATCCTGTACTTCTTCCTTATTTAGATATGTTTATTGTAGTGAAGCAGATATAACATTTGTCTTTGTTTTTAATTTATTTATTTATGCATACAGAAGTGGGGTACAGGCCAGCAGTGCAGGGGGGGGGGTGAAAGGATTCACCAGAGATAGAGGGAGGAGCAGAACAGGTAGAACTGATAAAGAACACTGCTGAGGGGAGCAGCGGGCAGGTCAGGAGTCTGCCGCACCTTGTGGGTCACCTCCAGGGCTGGCAGGAATCGAACTCATGCTGCGTGGCTTTAGCTTCTTAGTGCTGTGCTGTAACCCGCTGCACCACCAGGGAGGGCCCAACATTTGTCATTTGAACCATTGGTAAGTGAACAAGTCAGTGGCATTAAAAACATGGATAGCATTGGGCCACATCACCACTGTCTACACCAAAAACCTCTCCTTTTTTCCCAGCAAATGTTCTATGCCTCTGAGCAGCGATTTGTACTCTCCTGCAACCCCCTGCTAACAGCTCATGTACTTCTGTCTCTCTGAATTTGCCTATTCTGGGCATGAAGGTAGAATCCTTAATTACTGCATGTCATTTCCAAGGGCTTCAATCCCAAATATGTGGTCTTCCGACAGCTTTTAGTTACCCTCACCTGCATGCAGATCAGGTCCACGGCGGCTCTGCAGTCCATCAGTGAGGCGTCAAGGGACGGATCCAGGTACCTGCGTGATTTGGGGTGTTAACTCCTGACAGGGCTCTTGGCTCCTAGGTGTGCCCAGGAACCAGTGTCTCCTGCACTTGGAGCCAAGGCCTCTTTCCTAACCCCCCTTCCCACCCCTCTCTGCCTAACCTGCCTCTGTCCATCCACTCCTTCTGCTTCCTTTTTCTTTGTATCTTCTTACCTGATGGGCTCAGAGTCAAATGCAAAAAAATAAAGCTTTAAGGGGAATGGTCTGCAGACTTGTTTACACTCAGCCGGCTCGTGGCCACCCAGTCCTGTGTGCCCATTCCCAGAATACCTGCACATTTGCCTACACCCCGGCCGCCCCATCTTCTGCCTGTGCTGTTCCACCAGCCTCCTCACCAGGCTTTCTGCCCCCTTGGCCTTCCCTCCACTTTCTAGCCAGGGTGGTCTTCCCCGAGTCACCATTCAGATGCCCACAGTCCCAGGAGTTAGAGCTTTCTTGCTTGCTTCCAAGGCCCTTCCTGGGACGCCTCTGCTTTCATGGCCTATGTTCTCTCTCACACGTCCTCCCTTCCACGTGGAAGGTTGGTGCTCAAGTGAGGTATGACAAGGTTAAGGAAACTACTATTCCTAGATTTCAAACTGTCTTTCTTGAAAGCGTCTGAGCTCAGATTACAGAATAACTGGGCAGGGAGAGAGTTCAGCAGATGAATAACACCTGCTTGTTCCTGCAACAAATCCCTTCAATTAAAACAAGAATCCATTCCAAAGCAAACCGGCAGCCTAACACCTCCACAACACCTGCCTAAATGCCCACACGCAGCCCCGGTTTTTCAAGCCTTCCCATCATGACCGCTGTCCTGGTGATAACACCTCTCAAGTTCTTACCTGAGACAGTGGCAATCATCACCATCCCAGTCCCCAGACAAATGGCCAGGGAGAAAATGTCTGCTTAGGACAAAATTTCTCCTCTTCCTCACCCCCCACCCTCACTACTTTTCTCTTAACCTCTCTCCCCCCTGTGGGGCTATGGGACATGGGAGTCCAGATCCTCAAATACCTGCTGCAGGCTAAGTGCTCACTCACCACTTTCTGAGTCCAACCTGGCACTTTTCTACTTCAGCACTGTGAAGGCTGACATAGGGGAGTTCAAAGTCCGCCAGCTTTTTCAGGACTAGAGAAAGGGGAAAGGAAGTCTTGCTATTTAAAGCAGAACAAACAACCTGTGGAGACTTTTAAATGAGAAAATAAAGCATTGAATTCAGAGAGATTAAAATCCCAATCATAGTGTTCTCATCCACTTGTAAGTAATTTTTTTTTAACTTCTGAAGTTCATTAAAAAAAAAAAAAGTACTTGCTCCTCACGAAAGACCAGTGCTTGATCAGGGGACGCAACACTGGGCTACAGAGGAAGGAAAAGTGGGGCCAAGCAGACCAGTGCCCTGTCGTTACTGTCCACATCAGTGGCCAACCCACCTCACAGTCCCGCCCACAGCTTCCTGGCAGATGCCTAAAGCATTTGGTGATGACGGACCCTTTTACATCTAGATAGTCAATAAAGAGAAAGGCAAACACATGAATGCTCCATTGTTTCATTATCTCTTACATCCATCTTTTAAAAAGTCTGTAAAGAACTTATTTACAATATCCACATTTTATAGCAAATAAACTATAAGGGGGGAGTCCATGCTGCGGTGGGTCCTGATGCAGGGAGTCTGGGACCCGCTCACAGTGGCCGGCAGCCAGTGTGCAAGTAACAGAGTAGGTACATGTCATGTCAAGACCCAGACGGGGGATGTGCTGTTGATGGGGTGGGGAGGGGGGCTGTTGCCTTGCTCCTGACCATGTGGCCTCTCTGGGGTGCTCATCCCCAGTTCTCCCTGGACACAGACACAACAGCCACCCCAGAGACTTCTGATTCGGGGGCTGAGAACAATCATCAGGACAACACACTGGGGCAGCTGCCCGATGGGTGACACCCAGCCCACAGGAAGGGAAGTTGGTCTGTGGACCAGGGCCAGATGGCACCGTGCAGGTGCGGTGGAGAATGCCCCGCCCTGCAGTGGACAATACAGCCCGAAGTGAGCTGGGAGGACCACGCTCAGCACCGCTGGTGTGCCTGCTGCATCTGATGGGCACATCCCCTCCCCACACCTGCCCACTCCGCTCCTGGCTGTGCTGTATTCCTCTGCTCCTTACCAGAGAGCTTGCCCTCCTTGCAAAACCGAATGAGAAATAGGCCGAAGTGGTCCAGGAGCTCCCGACACAGTCCAATTTTGTGTGACACCACCTTGAACCAAAGACAAGAGAAAGAGGCTGGGGGAGAAGGGTAAGGGGGCAGGAGTGGAGTCATCAGGGGT